GAGCGGGGGTGAGGCAAGGTATAGCTTGAGCTCGTCAAAGGCACGCTGGCACTCCTCCATCCACTAAAATTTTTTCAGTTTCTTGATGGCACGGAAGAAGGGAAGGCAGCGGTCTGCCAACTTCGACATGAAACGGTTGAGGGCGGCATGTCTAGTATGGCTTGTACCTTACTCAGGTTGGCTTCAATGCCTCTTTGAGTGACAATGAAGCCTAAGAATTTTCCCGAGATAACTCTGAAGGCACACTTGCTCGGGTTGAGCTTCATGTTGAACTTGCACAGAGATATTGCAAGACAGGGAATGTCAGAGGCATCGGGCGAATACCCGAGGCAGAGGCTCCGACGCTCAAGTTAGTATGAGGTGTAAAGTAGGAAAGGGTGCAAGAGAGGCCTTAGCGATAGTCCTCGGATGCACCAAATCTCCTAGAGTAAATGCTATGGATGCAAGGTAGGTGCAAGGAGTAAATGAGTGAGCTGTGTAAGGATTTTCTGTTCTGGATCCCCTTTTAAGGGGTAGTTACCTCTTATTTATAAGTGAGTGTGCTGGAGGTAGGTGAAGATAAACGCCCCAGATGAGAGTCGTACGAGGTCAGGTCGCAGGCCCTGGTGGGTACGAGTCTGACCGTGATGTGGTTGGCTCTATACGAAGGCAGCAGGGCTCCCTCCTACGATGGTTGACGCTGTCAGACGTTAGTGGGCTGGGCCTCCCAGCCCATGGTAGGCTGGGCCAAGCTAAATCACATCAATATATATATATATAGGGCAGGGCCCTACGGGGATGAGTCTACCATCTCTAATTAGGGTTAGGGATGTTAAAGAGTCGGGATAAAATAAAAACCCCATTGTGACCCGAACTCATCATATCAGATTCGGGTAAGTCTTAGTTGAGTCCAACTCAGTGAATGAGTTTTTTTAACAAATATTTAGGGGCCCGTTTAGTGCGTCTTTCCGCGTGGTCTTTCGGTTGTTTACAAGTCAGGCAGACCGATTTTCGGTCTATTCCCATTAGGTTTGTGGAAGATCTAGCCACCAAAAGCTAGAGCGCTGAAAAGACACGAGAAGCCCATTTTGGACTGATTTCGAGATTTTCCAAATGAAGCTTTTCACGTCTTTCGTGTTTTATTCTCGCACGGAAAGACATGAAAAGACACACAGAAAGACGTGATACTGCCAAACTAGCTTTGGGCTGCTCAGATCTTCATGCAAAAGCTCAATGCGTCTTTTGACTGTCAAAGCTATCAGAAAATCTTCCCTAAAAGATGCGCCAAACGGTCCCTAGGTCTCTTTGGTAAGTCTTTTTGGAAGATCTTTTGGGACTTTTTAAAGATTGTAAGATCCCAAAATAATCTTTTCCATTTAGCAACAAAAGACAAAAAGTTGGAAAGATCCACATCCCAAAAAGATCATGAAAGCCCAAAATGGTAGAAAATCAAAAAGCTTTTAAAGATTCTCGTCTTTCTGTGCCAAAAATCTTTTGTTTAATAGCTTAGTAGACTATAGTAGAACAGGATACTTACCAAACAATCTTAGTCTTTAAAAAAGAAACCCAAAAGCTAAGTATATCTTTTGGCCATCTAGACTGTTAGAAGATCTTCATAAAAAGACTTGCCAAACAATACCTTAGTATGTTTGCTTGATCTTTCTATTGCATAAATAGTAGGCAAGTGCTAGCATGTGGAGCATTGTTCCTTCTATGTGATGTAAAGTGAATTTCTGACCACACAGCCCTCCTTTATAAGTATGCATTCTTTGGACACTTAGATATCAGTCCATTAAGTCCTAAAACAATATTGGAACAAATATATTTTTTAGGTCATTCACTAAACACCCCTTATAGTTTAAAGATCAGATTAGTCGAATGCATTGAATGTTTTGCATGCTGCGAAACCAATACTAATGCCTCACGTCAATCATAAAATTCATGGAACCATTGATATGGGCCCTATTTCTTTACTGGTGTAGGGCATTAGAATTGGTTCCACAGTTTACTATGTAATCATTGCGTTCAGTTAATTAGTTTTTTTTTCTCCTTTTATTATTTCTCCTTTTATTCAAAAGTTCTCAACACGTGTCCTATCCTAAAAACTAGGGTGGTTTTTCCTACTTCTTTCTAGACTCAAAAATTGGTTTTAGGTGAAAATGCATGGGTTAAAACAGTTTGTTTCTAGACACAAGGCTCCAACAAGGTTGCCAACCTTCAAACCTCCACCTGCTCGACAAGTGGGCTTTTCAGGTTGGTGGTTGGAGAATGAGAGATATAGGGAGTGGGAGAGAAACTAAAAACCTATTTTTGGTATAGGTTTTTTTTTGTGTCCAACATGGATTAAGAGTCCCATGTTGTCAACAGCCACATAAGCCCCTAATGACATGGCAAGGGTTTTGATAATTTCAAATATAGAGCCAGTTGTCAGAGTTTTATTGGTTTATGGACCAACCTACAACCTAATTTTAAATGTATAATCGGCTTTGACTATAATTTTCCATTTAAATTATATATTTCATTTACATTATATAAATAATGTTTACTTATCACACTTAAATTTTATTTGTCTATGATATCATTTGACCCAAATCACTAACCCACCACCCAAAAAGAAAAATAGTTTGATTTCTAGGATGACATTAAATTTTATATCACATTTCCATCATTGAAAAAAATTTCTTTTGTATAATACTTATTTTTGTTCAATATAATGAATGCATAATATTAGAGATGTACCCAATATTTTATTTTTTTATAAATATATAACATTAGATATGTGCCCAAAATTTTCTCTATCTTTTTTTTATTTTTTATTTTTGTGATTCATTGTATTTTCTATTTTGAAAAAAATTATTATTTGACTATAACATCATTTCATTTCTAGGTAGATTTTAAAATTGGCATTCCATTTTCATCATTAATAAAAATACTTCTTACATTTAATACTTAATTATTTTAAAAGCTATTATTTAATTATGGAATTATTTATTAATCCATTTAACCCCAAATGATCGAATTGCTTGACCACCATCGGGAGGGAAGAAAATGGTTTTGTTTTCAAATTACTTTTCAAAATATTTATTTTATACTATTAAAATTAATATTGTGGATTTAATTACAAGAATTTAATGATGAGAAAAATATATATTATATATAGGATTTAATAAGAGAGAATAAGAAAATATTTTTATTGCCAATTGGTTTTAAATTTTACATTCAATTTCCATCATTAATAAAAACATTTATTATTTACCATACTTGTCATTGTTTAATATAGTATTTTAAAAATGTTCCCATTTTTTTAATTTTTAATTTTTTCATTTTATTATTTAATCGTGGCAACATAGATTAACCCATTTGACCCAAAATGGTTTAATTTCTTACCACCACCTAGATGAAAACTCTACTTTTTCTAGGTAGATTTTAAAAGTATAAGTTTTTATGTTATTGAAATTGCTAATTTATTAAGTATGGATTTAATTAATAGAACTTAATGATGAGAAGAAACAAAAACGACTTAAATATAAGATTCATTGAACATGAATGCAAGTTAATAAATTAAATATTGGATTTATTGAGGGAATTGAATGCATTGAATATCATAAAATTACCTCTTTTCAACTCATTTAATATCAATAACCGATTGCCCTATTTGCCCTCACTTTTTATCAATAAATTTAATTGTAGAGGGGTAAATTTTGTTCTCAAAAAAAATTCCAGAAATATTCTTGAGGCCATGCTTGCCCACCACCGGGAGGGAAGAAAATGGTTTTGTTTTCAAATTACTTTTCAAAATATTTATTTTTATACTATTAAAATTAATATTATGGATTTAATTACAAGAATTTAATGATGAGAAAAATATACCTTACATATAGGATTTAATGAGAGAGAATGGGAAAATATTTTTATTTCCAATTGGTTTTTTAATTTTACATTCAATTTCCATCATTAATAAAAACATTTCTTATTTATCATACTTATTATTGTTTAATATATATGATAAAAATGTTCCCAATTTTTTTAATTTCTATTTTTTATTTTATCTATTTTTCATTTTATTATTTAATCGTGGCAACATGAATTAACCCATTTGACCCAAAATGGTTTAGTTTCTTACCACCACTTAGATGAAAATTCTATTTTTTCTAGGTGGATTTTAAAAGTATAAGCTTTTATGTTATTGAAATTATTAATTTATTAAGTATGGATTTAATTAAAAGAACTTAATGATGACAAAAATGACTTAAATATAAGATTCATTGAACATGAATGCAAGTTAATAAATTAAATATTGGATTTATTGAGAGGAATTGAATATAGTAAAAGTTTACTATATTGGTGTGGCCACAATTAATGTTGTTGAAGCTTGGGTGGCTTGGGAAGCCCATAATGTCACTTCAAATTTCAGGAATTTTCCTATTAGCATTGAAGGTGATTCTCTTCTTATGATTTCTTGCCTAAAGTAGATTGAAGTCCCTTGGAGGTTGAAGCCCATTATTGAAGACTGTTTGAATCTGGTTGCCTCCTTGGATTGAGGTGTGTCGTACATTCACTCTTTTAGAGAAGCAAATCAAGCTGCAGATTGGTTGGTGAATCAAGCTCTTTCTCCCTCTCAAGCTCCCTTTTCCCTCCCAAGTGCTCTTTTGTTTATTTGTTTGAGTGATTTTTGGGGCCAAAAAAAAAAAAACATTATCACCCCTACTCTCTCAAAATTGTTGATAAACCAGAACAGGGATTCCTTTAAGCCCAAGAGTTTTAATGCTACCAAAACTTTTGACTAGAGATTTGATCACTAAAGTATACTATGCTACCAAAACTTTATGGCACAAACAATTTTTTTTTTCTTTTCAAATACAAATGAACCATCATCCACTAGTGTCAATTTAAGTTAAAAAATGCTAACTTCTCATTATAACCTCCTAATGAATCTTCTCTTCATTCATACCCAATCAGTACTTTGACTGATATGTATAAGGTTATTTGAGAGACAATTTGCTAAATATAGTTCAAACCTATACTTCAATGTGTACATTATCTTCAGAACCTTTATTGGGAATACCTGGGTTTCTTTCTTTTTCATTTTGTTTTTTGAATGGCCCAAATGAATTTTTTCCACTAGTATACTATCAGCATTAACTTAAAATTGTTAATTAAAACTGGTCATTTTCCATGAACAAAAATGTGGGGACCCATGAAAGGAAGTATCACCAGTAATCTCCACATGTGCATAGCCCTTCTTTGAACTGGTGAAAACGCTTAATGTCTCTTAGAATAATCTCCCTATGGCACATTTCACTTGCATATTTCATCATAGAATGGCAATCCCCACAGACTCTAAGGTTCTTAACAATCCTAATTTCCATCCCTGGAGGAGTGCTAATAAGCCCAAAGCAAAGGGCCAACTTCTCACTATGACTTCCCAATGAATCTTCCTTTTCTTCTTCCTCAATATTATGGAATATCCACTCTGTATCAGGCAAGTATCCTTGTGCCCTTGCATTGATTGTTAGCTCCTCCAATTTCTCATAAATTTCTTTTGTATGCTTGTGGGTCTGATCACCTGCTACAAAATAATGAACTTTGCCTCCCACCTCAATGTAACTCCATCCAGGAGGTTTCTCAATACCCTTATTCCTCATCGCAATTCTCACACTCTCTGAATCATCCCATCTCCCAACTCCAGCATAAATATTGGACAAGAAAATATAGCTTCCCGGGTGTTTAGGTTCTAGCTGCAAGAGCTTCTCTGATGCTAATTCTGCCATTTTAATGTTTTTGTTGGCCCTACATGCACAAAAAAGTGCTCCCCATATCACAAAATCAGGTTTAATAGGCATTTTCTCGATGAAATTCAAAGCTTCTTCCAGCCAACCAGCCCGGCCAAATAGATCCACCATGCATGTGTAATGCTTCACAGTAGGCTCAATCAAATGGTCAAACCTCATGCTGTTGAAAAAGTGAAATCCTTGATCCACCAGGCCCGAGTGGGAGCAAGCAGTTAAAATTGCCAGAAAAACAACTTCATCCGGTTTCACTCCTGTAAACATAGGGCCCATTCAATAATATCTTTAATGATATATATATATATATATATATATATATGAATTAGACGAGAAGTCACTATGAAAGTATAAGACTTCATACCTGTGGATTTCATATCCTCAAAGCACTGAAGAGCTTGCGCAGAGCATCCATGCATTGCCCAACCCGAAATCATAACACTCCAAGTGAGAAGGTCTTTCTCTTTTGTCTCACCAAAAACCCTGCTTGCATACTCTATCTTCCCACATTTTGCATACATATCCACCAAAGCTGTGCCTAGTGCTCTGTTTAAGCGGAAGCCATTGCYTGAAACATAATTATGGATACGAGTTCCAATTTCTAGAGCTCCGATTCTTGCACAAGCTGCTAGTGCAGAGACAATCGTAAGGTCATTAGGCCTCACACCCTGCTTCAGCATTCTATCAAACATATCCAGTGCCCGTTCATTGTCCCCATTTTGAGAATACCCGGAAACCATGGTAGTCCAAGAAATCACATTCTTTTCCAGCATCTGATCAAAAAGCGCCCTCGCATGCTTGACATCCCCCTTTCTCATAAACCCATTGATCAAACTATTCCAAGAACCAATATTCCTCTCCGGCATTGCCTCAAAAATCTCATTCGCTTTCTTCACGTCCCCAGCTTTACAATACCCGTTAATCAAAACATTCCATAGTAATATACTTGCACACTTATTTCCTTCCGGAGTTTCATCAAACAACTGTAATGCGAAATCCAAATAATCAACTTTCACATACATGTCGACCAAAGAAACCCGAATGAATGAGTCAAGTTCAAGACCGAGCTTGACGGTCTGCGCATGCAAAGACCTTCCAAGCCCATGTGCAAGCAATGACGCGGCCGATTTGAGGACAAATGGGAAGGTGAGACGGTTGGGTTGGACATTAATCTGTAACATGGAAACAAAGCAGTAGATCGATTTCTCAAACTGGGTATTTTCGCAGAGGGCCCGAATCAATGAATTAAAGACAAATAAATTTGGAAGAGAGAAATGATTGAAGATGGAAAGCGCATATTCTATGGATCTGAATAAAGAACAAGTAGATATAAGCTGGGTGACGAGGCGACTGTTCTGCGATAGGTTGTGAATGAAAAGCTGGGCATGGATCTGTTCGAGCTGTCTGGTAGTTTTGGAAGCGTGGATGAGAGAAACAAAGCCTTCTTCTGATGGCTGGATTGAAGCAGCGACTCTGGTAATATTCTTTCTAGCGATCGGAGTAGTTTTTCCCAAGAAGAGAGAAGAAAGGGGTCTCATGTTAACGGCTAATCGTTAATTCAAAATGTCTTTGAAAATAAGAGAAGGTAAAGTGACTTTGTGAGGCTGGGCCGGGTGTTGGATTTAAACCTCTTATGGGCCGGGTAAAGTGTATGGCCCACAGAAGCCCAACATCTCAGGCCCAAATAATTCGGTTTCAAGGACAAAAAATGCAAATATTGGAAATTTTATGCGTTTATAATAATCCTACTTTTACATTATAAAAACGCATTTAAAGCATAAAAATTTCTTATTTTCTCCCTTATTTTTTTAAATCAGTTTTATATTTTTATAAAAACTACATATGTATTTTTCCATATCTTGAATATTTTGGCGTTTAATATTTCACTGGGCTTGATTAGATTTTAGAATTCATAGTGTGCGTGACAAGTATGTGCAGTGCAAAAACTATAGGGTATTTGTATTGTATATATTTGTATTTGCACTCTTCCTGAACTAGGACTCGGTTTGGAAGGAGTACAAATACATACAAAATAATATAAAATATAAGGTTTTGTGCTCTACATATTTGTATTTGTACTCATAACAAATGGAGCCTAAGAAAAAAAAGTTTCTAGTCAGTTGGTCAAGTTGGTAAGCTTCCTACATAAAAGGTTATCAAACTTATTTTTGCCTCATGGAGAAATCTTAAGGCTCAGTTTGGAAAGAATACAAATACAAATATGTAAAATGCAAAACCTTGTATTTTGTATTATTTTATATGCTTTTGTATTGTATATATTTATATTTCTACTCTTTCCAAACTGAGCCTAAATGTCCATGTCAGACTTATGGCCTCCTTATAATGCAATTTTCTCCATCAATGTTTGTGCTTTGAAATATTTAAACTTTTCCACTTGAAAAGTATTTTAAATTTTGAATAGTTGAAAGGTCTTTTGGGCCAATAATTTGCTTCTGATGTTTATGATGCAAATGCTATTTATACTGGTGCAAATGCATGGGAGTGTAAATGGGCTGAGTGTAACTTTTGATTTACTTTTGTTTTGGATTTAGCCTTGTTTTGTTTGTTTGTGACAAGTAAAATAATATAATCCCCACTTTATATCAAGGACAATAGAAAACAGAAGAACTGTTACTTATTTAGGAGCACGGTAGGAAACAAAATGATGTGATCTCCACTTGGCAGAGAATTAAGATACGATGAAGGTGGTACAAGATGCAAAATTTGCATTGGCAATGAATATGAATGAGACAAAAAAAAAGTGCAAATTTTAAATCAATAAGGTTGCAAATCATTATTACAAATAAAAGAATGCAAAACTGAACTAAGTACAAAATTTGTAAGTAATTTAGATTTGCACAACCAGCTAGAGACTTTACCAGCAGGCTAGTTAGTATTTAGCACCTTCTATCATGCCAGATATTGATTATATAAAAATACTATAATATCTAAAGGTGTCCCACCTGAGCCTGAGTTTCATAGCCAAAAAGATTACATAGAGGCTAATGTCTTTAGGATAAAAGGCAATAAGCCCACAACCACCCAGTTATTTTTGAATGAGCTCTAAATTTTGACCCTAAGGCTGTGTTTGGTTGCAATGCAAATAAATTTGTACTAATGCAAAACTATGGCAGTGCAAATGATTTGAATGTGAATTTTCACTTATTTTTGTTTCAAATTTTAGTTTACTTTGTTTGATTGCCATGGTTTTTAAAACTGAATCGGTCAGGGGTCCGGTTATCGGTTCGAACGATCGATCAGTTCTGACAAAAAAATTAAAAAAATAAAAATAAAAAATTGAAAATCGGTCAAAACCGTTTGAACGGTTAATTGGACGATTCAGCGGTTTACTGACCAAAATCAACAGTTTTGGAGAAAAAATCGGTTTTGGGGGAAAACGGAACCGATCATGTGATTGGTTCCCGATTTTTTCGGTCCGACCGTCCAGTCTGGTCCGTTCCGGTTTTAAAAACCATGTTGATTGTAGTACAAATAAAGTAAATTAAGACATGAAGCAAAATAAAGTAAAACCCAAAATAAGATTAAACGAGAATTTGCATTTTTTTCATTTGTACTCCCATAGATCTGTACTAGTGCAAATAAATTGCACTCAACCAAACACATCATTAGGTTCAGTTTGGAAGAAGTAAAGATATAAATATATAGCATGCAAAACCTTGTATTTTGTATTTATTTGTACTGTACATATTGGTATTAATACTTCCAAACTGAGCCTTCAGCATTTTCTCTTCTTAAACCATGGTTATGAATTTATATATTATTAATTATAAAAACTAATTAATTAGAATTAGTATATATATATATATATATTGGTTTCCTAATAATTAAGACACATAATCGTACTTTTAATTACTTTCTTATTTTTCAACAATTTCTAAGTTTGTTCTAATAAATTCACACCTCACATAAATTATCCAAGTATGTGCTTCTTATGCATGTATACCTTGTTTATAGTCATTTAAGATTCAATTGTAGTGTGATTGTTATTTTATTATTATTTTTTTTTTGTGGGGAGGAGGGGGTATTTATTTCAGTTTCTCTGATATATCCATTGCATCTTAACTTTTCCACCATTAACCCAAAGCATATTCCAATATATCTTTTATAATTGTCTTTCCAATACTCTGCATTTCTAATACTTTGAACCTTGCATCTGGGACCCAGAAAGCTCACTAGGTCATTGGGTGAAGGTTTTTAGTGTAACAAACTATCAACGGATTGGATCTGGACAGGTTAGGGGTAGAGTGGACCCAACAAATAAGTGAAATGTGCAGAAGCAATTCCAAACCAGACTCTATAGGGTATGTAATTGCATCTATTGGGTCTGACCAGATAAAACCTAATTATAATTGGTAGCTGTTTTTAAGCTGTGAATTTGTAATCTGACAACCTACTTATAATATGTCTTTTATGATGAAAGAGAAATATAGGTACAAGACTGGGGTATCTTTATAATATGTCAATATACAAATACATAATTATGTATGTAGTTGGTTCCAAACAGACCCAGACCCTATATAATTGGGCTCGCTCCGTTTGGGTCTATCAGGTCTACCCGACCGATCGACAGACCTAGGACCAAGTTTGCCTCAAGAACCTGGATTTGGCTTGGAGCCTTGGACCATCAAGAGACCTCCCTGTCTCCCTTTGGACACAGTGTATCTGGAAGTTCAATTGGGTATTGATTGTATCTTCTAAATTTTGGGCTAGGCAATTTGTTAAACATAATAGAGTTTTGCACCAAAAGTTCTAGACCAAGAATTTAGCACATCCATAAGTCTTTATGTTTTCATATTCTCAAAGAAATTGCAGAAGGAATATTACCCATTAAAGGGTTCAAGTTATAAATCAAATGACAACCAATTCTATGAACATCCAACTTATTTCCTGCTAGAAGTTTGTACACCAAAATTAGGGATGCAACTTGGACCGGGTACCTCAACCCAGACCTAGCCCGACTTGTGTCTCAACCCAATTAGCCCGATCCTAACCCAACCCGACCTTGGAGTATGTAACCCTACCTCAATCCAAGTAAGCCGATTTTCATAATTAGGTTGAATTGGGTCTGGTTGGATATGGTTAGCCCGACAAATGCATGGCAAAAACCCAATATTATTTTTGTGAGTTGACTTTTTTTAGGTCTCATCAAAGCTAGATTTACATGAGCATTTATAATAATTAAAGATATTAATAGGGGCACAATAGTCTATATTAGGTTGGGTCAACCGGTCAAGTAGCCTGAGGTCTCAACCTGAACCAATCCTAAATCATATTGGGTTGAATTGAGCCTGGTTTTACCCGATTTATATAGAACCCCAACCTAATCCAGCAATCAGGTTGGGCTAGTCAGGTTTCAGGTTGACCCATTCCAAGTTGCACCCCTAATCAAAATCCATCGTAATATTCACCCAAGCCTCAATCCAACTGTTACTAAGCAAATCACTCTTACACGACCATCCATTCCACTAGTCTTACCATTTCACATTCTAAGGAGTCCCTGAAATCGTTTTCGCCACCGCAAGCAATGTTCTTTTTGGCATTTTATCTTGTCCATCTAGCAAATTCTAAGTAACTACTAACTAGTATAACAGTCTTTCTTATAATGCATTTATTTTGCCTTTTAACTGGAAATTGCAACTTTATTAAAGTAGTGAGTGCAAATAATAAAGGGCATTCAGCCAATAAAGTGGACTCATCAGAACCTTACAATTCACACTCTCGGTTCCACTTATTTCCAAGGAATCAGCTAAAGGGTTGGGCCGGTTGGTCAATATCATCTCATCTCGGCTAAGTTTTGTTTTATTTTATTTTTAGTTTTACTTTTTGAAAAGTAACAGTACTTCAATAATTTTATTGATAATAGAGACACCAAGCTATACAAGTGGTTCACACTGAAGATCACAAACATATCACAGCCTGAGTTGACATATCATCTCAGCTAAGTTGATTCTAAGTTTTATTTCTTGACTGCCAGCATTCTAGCCCATAAAGAATGATTAGATATATAGCCATATTATTGATTCATTTCCTCAGTCACAAACATTACATGTGAATGTCTTCACTTCATCTTCCCCACTCTATGGACAACAATATCTACTTAATCTCTCCATCCCCAAAATTGTCAAACCTACCTAAAGTACTAAAATCTCAATATTCAGCCGCATCAACAGAAGTTGGAACATCACCACTATATAAGGATGCACTCATACATATTCCAACTGTTGCAGAAACCAAAATGCTATTCTTCAGTCACTGTTTCTCTAAAACCTAGAGAAATCCCGACTTCCTCTAAAAAGACTCTCTGATGGGACCTTAAAATACAAAGGAAAAAAGAACAAAGGAAAATATAAACTGCTTTTGAGAATAATTTTTCTTGGCATTATGTAAAAGCAAAGTGGTTTTTTAAGTAAAAATCTGTTAAGAAAAGCCTCCTGTAGAATGGAAGAGATGATAATCTAAATGAAGAGAAAGATCTCCACAAGCATCTAACATCCTATCGCAAACTTACAACCAACAAGGAAAGCTACTTGGAAATTAGTAGATGTGCAAACAAAAAAAAAATGAAGTCATAATATTGATGACTTTCAAAACAATGTAATATCCTTATGATATTTCAATGGCATAATATAATAATGATTTTACCATGTGATTTATAGGTCCGCATCCCTTTTTCTTGCAGCAAGTGAACTTTTCTACAGTCCCAAATAAAAGTACAAGATTGAGTTGTAGGGATTATAAAATTTTATTGTATCATTTCACCCTCTAGGTCTCTATATAGCAGGCATTTGATTTCAGTTGCCATTACACTCAAATGTTTGTCATGTACATATAAATCCGTCCTTAAGAAGGATTTAGCATCAAAGCCTATATTTCTCCTTCACTGAAAGTCTTTTGACCATAGTCAATAAATTAATTCAAGTCAGCAGCAAGGATGAACTTAGTATTTAATAACAGTATAGCAAATTTCTGTTTGAGATGTGGTGCCCAAAATAAATCAATCTTCATTTGATTTTGATTGCCCTTACACTCAAATGCTTGTTATTTTTTGGGGAGAGATGAACTTTCTTAACCCTCCCAAAAACAGAACATAATTACAATACAGCCCAAAATAAATGATCCCTTCCCACCCTTGCTTTGCTAGTGCATCAGCAAATGAATTAGCATCCCTTTTCACCCATTGGACATTGATTTCCATTCTCGAGACAGCCATTTACTCCTTTTCTCATTTATACAGCACCACCATCCAGCCTCCTCTTCCTTCTGCAACCACTCAATAACTAACTTTAAGTCCCCCACAATAATTAATCTCTGGATATTCAGCTCAGCTCTCTAGGCTCTAGCCCTTTGAAGGCCTTCCAACTCAAATGCTTGTTATGTACATATAAATTTGTCATTAAGAAGGACTTAGCACCAAAACCTATATTTCTCCATTGAAAATGTTTAGAACTTAGTTTCTAAAAACACTAGAAAATTTCTGTATGAGATGTGGTGCCACAACACCCGAAAAAATGAAAACTCAACCTATTTAGGATTGACAGCCTCCAAATGGATATTATAACCAACAAAAGATTGCATAGTAAAATATGTTTGTGAAACTAATAAAGAGAACAGAGACATAAAGTCACATAAGACACCAAAACCAAGTAACCATACTTTTCACATTACAAAATATGGTGAGAGCACAATTGTCATATGATGACACCAAAACTGAGTATAAGGATCTCTAGGACATCAAGATCCTTGATCTAGTTGTTAATCAAAGTTACCACATACAAAAGCATCATTGTTGTATCACTCCTAAGTGAGAATATAAACACTTCAGCTTGTTGGATGAATTCCAACAAAAACTATTACTCAATAAACCCCCAAAAACAACCCCAATACTGGCCTTGCAAATTATACAAAATATCCTTCTCAACATTAGAGAGAGAGAGGTGTGTAGAAATAAAAGAAAACTTATCCATTCAGCCTTTGGTTCTCATGATTGTAATGCTCCCTTTGCCTCCTTCAGTGCGAATTTTTGTTTTAACAACTACAGGCTTCCCAGAAAAAGCTGAAGTGGGGTAAGAAGCAGAAGAGTCATCATCATTTTTGTGCTTTGATTTCAGTAGTGGTGTTCTGATCCTCTGGTTTATGTCCTTAAGGGTTAAATCTCCATGAATCCCACAGGGTTTGATTAGAGCAAATGGATATGCAACAGAAGAAGCAAGCTTTGTGGGAGTCCTCATGTAAAATTTCCTACCTAATTATGTCAAAGAGAAATTAAATCAGTTCATTTGAAGTGCAATCAGAACAAGATGCAAATCATATATTGCAAATAGAGTAATACCTTTAAAAGCATTTCGTGGAGTTGGGGTTATGCATTCTTGCACCACGTTAGCTTCTACCGCTGGAGGTGTGTTGCAAAACTCTAGGGAAGAAAAAAATATATTCTAATGTCAAAGATTTTTAGTCATGATATGAACTAAAAAGAAGGAAATGGTGTACAGGATTAAACGGAAAAGCAAATATGTAAAAACGAAAAGATTTTGACAAATTCATTGAATAAATATATATATATATATATCATATACCTGAAATATGTACTTGATCATCAAACACCCTAGAGACATCGCTGTGGTCCATGCATCAAAAAATCAATCAAGTGGAGGTGGAAGGTGACTGCATAAAAATCTAAAGAAGAAAGAAGCATACATATCATAAGAGTTAACATGCATTTCCGCATCATTAAAGCAATTGGTGAGCCACCCCTCAGATGATTGATCCAGGCCCTCACTACCGGAGATAAACCTATCTCCTAATATTGATAAAATAATCAGAATAGCCTTTGATTGAGCTCAATAATATTCATATGTGAACCCACAACATACCTGTAAATTCTGAAACCCAATCTGAAGTCTGAGGTAAAGATTCTTCAATTGAATTCTCCCTATCCTGCATAGAAAAATGCACAATGTAAATGCATACCTTGGAAAAATAACACAGATAAAAGTTTCACAACCTCTAACACTAAAATCATGTCTTATAGGTTTCAGTGCATATGTGAAAAAGCACAATTTATTCAGGTTTTTAATTGAATAATTAAAGAATGATAATCCTATAATATACATATAAATGAAACTTACAATATTTACACCATGGCTATGGCATATCTATTATACTGTAGCTGTGTTTTTAACTTAAATTAGAGCAATAAGTATGAGATCTATGTTTTACCCATATCAATCAAAATAATATAAAATATGCAACATCTAGGTAATGCATGATCAAACAATATGATCAGTATAGGGTTAAAGCCTGAAGACCTTTGATTTTACAAAAGCAGATGGTAAACCTTCATTACAAAGGCAAGGATCTATAACTTGAGTGTTGAATTGTAGCATTCTCCGCCTCTTTGTTTGCAAAGGCTCTATGCATCCCTCTGTTTCCTTGTTCATATTTTCTGAAATCCACTCTTTCAGATTAGGAAGTAGATATGCAATGAAATTACAATTCCAAGTATAAATGCCACAAGTGTTCCAAGAAAGAGGGAAAAAATGCATTACCACTTTCAGTAGCAAGGTAAGAAAAATCCCCACAAGCCTTGATTGGAGTTGCTTCATCAAACATGTAGGACAAATCTTCTTCATTCTGGTTTATTTCATCCCATAGATAATCCGAGGCATCTGTTTGAAACAAATTCACCACCTCCACATGAGATATCTTCTTCAAAATGTCTTACCACTAATAAGAGAAGCACAACAAGTACTTACCAAGATTGGAATCCTTTTGGAGAAAATCTTCATCGCATTGCCATTCCCATGGCTCACTAATAATGATTTCACAGAAGAAAAACAGAAACACATCATCAAATTAAAGTAGAGCCCAGATCTATTGTGCAAGAAAATTACAAAAAAAAAAAGATAAGATAATTTCAACCTTAAATTGCATTCCAAGGTAAAGTGAAGCAGCACTTATTAACAAAAAACAGTGTTAACTAACTGAAAAAAAATTAAGAAATTTAAGATGGATTATGATTGTTTCTTTTTTTTTTTTGAAGCCGATTATGATTCCAATTAAGCTCTTAAAATTTTGAACAAAAAGTTAGACAACAAAACAAGCTACCGTAAATAGGGGGAAAAAGAAAATTCTGAATAATCTGGGTTCAACTCATTAGTTACCACAACATCCATAAACACAAACAAAATACGCAACTAAACACCCAAAATATGTAACGAAAAATGGAAAGAGCAATAGAAATCTCGATTTGCGTCCCCATTTATTAATATTATCTTCATAAACATCAAGAAAATGCAGGATTAACCCACCAAAGTACGTAAAGAAAACTAAAAATGCACATGGAAGTCAGGGATTATGTTCTAAGGTAGAAGTAGATTTTCAGAGATTTAACCAAATACAAGGAAAATTCCAAAAAAAAAAAAAAAAAAAAAAAAAAAAAAACGAGAAGATCAAGAGTTTACAACTTACCCCATTTTGGATGAAACCAACAAGATCAGTTTTGAAGCATTAAAAACGCCTATTCGATTCAGAGGTTGAATCTCCGGTTGAAAATTGATCTCTGCTGCAGTGCTCCTTCCCAAAGGCTAAAGCAAGCAGCGTGCCGGTTCTTCACTGGCTCAAGCAACTATCATGAAAAGGGACCCCATGCGCAGCGCATCTCCGAACGGGGTTGGGGTGTACGAAGAAACCCGGAAACCCGAATCATCTCACGTAACACGTGCCTTGTTTCCCGGCCTGAATCTAGGACTGGTTCGGATTGGTGGGGATTTTTAACCCGACAGGAGACTTGTGTTTTTTATAAGACCCGACAGGGGCGAGATCTTTTGGACCATTGACCACCTAAGCAGAACGTCGCTACGGTGGTCCCCTGTGTGACCGATCACGTAAAGAAGCACGCATCTGAAAACGAGGGCAGTGCATGTTGTTCAGCTCAACTTCTAAAATAACTGTTGATATCCGGTATAGTTACATAAATGCCCTTATTTTTGGGAAACGTGCCCTTCCTTCTTGTAAATTAATCGAATGGATCTTGAGTCTTGACTTCGAGGCGAGAGCAAGAATGAGTTTTACTGGGTTCGGTCTGGTTCGGGTCCGAACCAGACCGAGTTCGGTTATATATATTTTTATATCTAAAACTAGGAGTGTTCATCATACGGTTCAAACTGCAAAACCGAGTTCGGTTTACATCTATAAACAGTTTGGTTCGATTTAAGAATTTCCAAATTGTGGTTTGCGGTTTTGGTTTGGTTTATTGAATTTTATAAACCGAACCAAACTGTAAACCGTAAACCATAAACCAAAATTTTGTATGCATATATATAATATGAATATTTGATATGTAAACAATATATATAATATATCTAAATGGAATGTGTAAAATTATAAATATATAATGAACTCTTTATTTTATAATAAAATAATTAATCAAAGTTTTATGTTTTAATTTTTAGGGGAGCTATTTGGGCTTTCTAATTGGGCTAAGCCCAAAAGAACCATAGAATGGTCCAAAGTCCCCAAACCGTATTAGAAACTGCACCAAAATAGTTTGGTTTGGTTTCCATACCAAAACGGTTTGGTCAGTTTAGAAATTTCTCAAACCATAATTTACTGGTTTGGTCTGAGAACTTCTCCAAACCGCACCGAACCGGACCGTAAACACCCCTATCTAAAACAAAAGGGTTCATCAAAACACCTTGTATCAAAGCCCTTCAGATATGATATGATAGGGCTTTGTGCAAAACAAATACTAGTAGGGGTGATTTACCAAAAAAAAAAACAAATACTAGTAGGGCTTTGTGCAAGAAAAACCGCTATCCAATACCGATGATGGAAGGGATTAAATTGAAGCAAAAGAACAATCAAAGTATTTGTTTTTGTTAGGAGAAATTGAAGCAAAAGGAACCTTTTGACATTTCCAAGTATTATTTTTTGGTCAAATGAGCTTTGTTAATTGTTATTAATTATAATAAAGTTTAAAATTTTATTAATATTTTAAAACTTATTAAATTTTAAGATTTGAATTTATATTTATTAATTAATTAAGTTTATATTTTATTAATGCAATTATTTTTAATCAAATTTATTTGAAATAATTAAAAGTAATTTAAATTTACCCAAATTATAATTAATTAGAGTTGTTATAATATTATTAAATGAATTTTGTTAATGTAATATGTGCTAAAGTTTTGTTACTTAATTTTGAATTTTTATTAATGAATTTGTAAATTACTAATTATAATAAAATTATTTGGCACCTGGAGCCTCATGAAGCTAAAAAAAAAGGAAAAAAGAAAGAAACTCACACCCATATACCATATGGATAACTGAGTATTGTATAATAAATTAAGTTATTACATTTACTTAATTAACTAAATTATTAAGTAATTTTTCTTTGCTTAACCAAAAATTAGTCTTCAAAATTTTATTCACATGTTTAGTATTATTGAAGAAAATACCAACCTAAACAAAATTGGCTATTTAGTTCAATACTTTTAGTATAATTACAACAAACAAATAAAAACAGTAATATATATTTGGCATTCATAATCAATAAAAATAAACATTATATGAAACAAAAATAAAATTTACCATCAAAGAAATTTATAACATTGAATTCAAATAAAAACATATGTTGCATGATAAAAGATGTACAATTTCAAGAAAATAAAAGTTTCAAAGCTTAAGTTAGACAAAAAAACTGTATGGAAAAAAAAACTTAAATAGTATATTTAATAGTCATTAATGTAGAAATGCATGTTATGCATATTTGTTGACAATTTTGTGTTTATCGTATATTTTATTGCAAGTATATGCATTTCTTCAAAATATCTATGATATTTAGGAAATTTTACATTTTATTGGAAATTTATGCATTTTTCAACAAATTATATCCAAATGTTTATGATAACCATTTGTCTTAAGTAAATATCAGTAATTTTCATTAATTATTAACTCTAAAGTATTTCTATAAGCATTGACTAATAATTATTTTTGTAACTATCATTAATGATAAATAAATAATTAATTAATGATAATTAATTGAGTAGCAATTTCAGTAATAATATCAATAAATAAATAAATTATTCTGAATAAATTAATTTTCAAATATACACATATTTATAAATAATTAATTACTAAAAATCTCAAAATAAATTGATGTTTTAATTATTCTAATTATCCTACACATTTAATGTTTAGGAAGTTTCTACCTTTGTTATAACGCGATGAAATGAGAGACAGGGTGATGTGGCTAAAGGCTAAGAGACCGATGATGTGGCAAAACAAAAGCCTGCGTAGGGTGAAGGCAAACCTATACCAGATTTCTTGTGTTTATTTATCATTAATTATTTTAAAATTAAATTTATATATAGTTTAAATTAACAGTTTTTACTTTTATAAAATTTTAATTTCTAATAAATTGTTATTGATGCATAATTTAAGTTAAGATATTATGCTAAGTTTATTATTGTTTAAAATTTCTAATATTTTAGAATTTTTTATTATAAATTAAGTATAATGTTATTGTTAAAATTAAAAAATATATATATTTTTTGAATTTTCTATTATGTTAATCAYTTTTAAATTGAAATTAAATTTTATTACTTTATAATTATAAAATTATTATAATTAATTATTAAATTTTATAATGACAAACATGAAAATATTATTTATAATTATAATAATATTTTTAACTAATTATTAAATTGTATTACTTTAGTTGTATTATTTATTTTTTCTCTTATTAGTATTTTAGATATTTCTTACTCATATTGTTTTCAATGTTTAAGTTTTATCTTAAACTATTTAAAAAAAAAGTTTTGACTTAAATATTAATATTTTCATACATTGATGAAAAATTAAATGCATGCATTTAGAAGGTAGAGAGAGATATGGATATGAATAGATAGATAGAGAGAGAGAGAGAGAGAGGGGGGGGTGGATTTTTATGGGAAAAGGAGAATCTTTAATTGGTTGTTTAAAAATGACATGGAATAAAAAAACTAAAGATTCAAAAAAAAAAGAGAAAAAAGATAGATTTCCTTGTTTTAGTATATATAAATAGATGCCTGGTATGGATAGTATCCTATCATACTTTGAACATAGGAACTTATAGCTTAGTAAGGTTGGTCCCACCTAGGCAGCCTATGAGCTATACCAAAACTGACTTCAAAAACTTGACTTTCCACTAAAGCTTCGTTTAGAGGCTTATCCAAAGCACGTCAATGAAAACAACTAAACCAATGCTTCAGCATATCCAGTCTTGAAAGAACAAACTCAAAATTGAACTATCCGGTCTAACCAGATAAGACTCGATTCTAATCAACAGCTATATACTTTCAGGGTCCGTTTAATTTGCAGTTGAAATCGGAAGTGGAATTATATATTCTCATAGTCTGTTTGGTTCGTACAGGAATTGGAATGGGAATTAGAATAAGCTAGAATTGGTCATTTCCTCGAGGGAATGTCATCCCGCCAAAAATGGGAATGGCATTTCCTCCCTTAATCTATAATTCAACAATCAATAAGCTAATTTGTTACAAGTATATCATGGAAAAGGCATGTACTAAACTATGTAAAGTAGTTGGCYCAGGTCTTAGTTCGTTGAAAGTAGAGGAGTAATTGGTCGGGTTTGGGTCAAATCTGGCCATATCCAAATATGTTCCAATTATTAGTGGGGATAGAAATCTTCCCCATCCACGCCGTGTACCCTACCTCCCCAACCTGATGGGGTCGATGATGGGGGTGGGGATTAATAGGGATCCCCAACCGAAGTCTGGGTCGAGGATGGGGATTAATTGTTTCGGTGAGGCAAGGACAATGATAGGGATTAATAAGAATCTCCAATCGGGGTCGGGGTTAGGGGTGGGGGATGGAGTTTCTGCCCCACCCCAACCCCAATAATATATATATATGATATTATTTATATTGTATATGTTAAAATATATTTATAATACCATTTATATTTTAAAATTTTTCTTTGTTTTAATTTTTTTCAAAAAATACTGTTAACTTTTATCCCTAGTGAGGATTGGAGTCAGGGACGGGGATTCATTTCAAAATTCTTAATTATTAAAAAGTTGAGTCTGAACCAAAACCAAGTGCAAGTTTCAATCAGATATCCAAATTTGCATGTGATGGCAATCGATGCTCCTTTTATACTTAAAATTAGTATTTGTACTCGAAACCTTAGATCTCGGAGCCATGCAACACTTGCAAATTTGATGGCAAAAATGAAGGAGATAGAAGAGACATTATCAATCATTTAATCGTTGTCCCCTTGAGAGCTCAATATTAGTGAAGAATTAGTGGTGAGTGTTCCAACAAGTTTCCATTTCCTTTATGTTTAATGTTTGGGAAGTTTTTGCCTTTGTTATGGTGGTAAAATGGGAGACAAGGCGATGTGGAAAAATGAGGGCTTGGGTAGGGTGAAGGAAAACTTGTACTAAATCCAGCTTGTTGTGTTAATTATTCATTATTTTAAAATTGATTTTAAATTAATAATTTTTTACTTTTATTAAATTTTAATTTATTTAGTAAATTGTTATTGACATGTAATTTAAGTTATGATATTATACGAAGTTTATTACTATTTAAATTTTTACTAATATTAGAAATTGTTAATGCAAATTAAGTATAACAT